CCTGAGACCATCTTCTATACACCTCACACATACCCACATACCCCTACCTAGCATCACACTGTCCTGAGACCCTCTTCTAGACTGCCCTCCCACACATACCCTACCCAGCATCACACTGTCCTGACACCCTCTTCTAGACTGTGCCACCCATACCCACATACCCCACCAAGCATCACACTGTCCAGGAATCCTCTTCTATACTGCCCCACACACATACCCACATACCCCACCCAGCATCACACTATCCTTTGACACCATCTTCTAGACTGCCCCACACATACCCACATACCCCACCCAGCATCACACTGTCCAGACATCCTCTTCTATACTGCCCCACACATACCCACATACCCCACTCCAGCATCACACTGTCCTGAGACCCTCTTTCTAGACTGTGCCACACATACCCACAAATCCCACCTAGCATCACACTGTCCTAACACCTCTACTATACTGCCCCACACATACCCACATACTCCCACCCAGCATCACACTGTCCTGAGACCACCTTCTATACTGCCCCACACATACCCCCACGCAGCATCACACACTGTCCTGAGACCATCTTCTATACTGCCCCACACATACCCACATACCCCCCACCCAGCATCACACTGTCCTGACACGCATCTTCTATACTGCCCCCACACATACCCATACATACCCCACGCAGCATCACACTGTCCTGGCGCCTCTTCTATACTGCCCCACACATACCCACATACCCCACCCAGCATCACACTGTCCAGGCATCTTCTTCTATACTGCCCCACACATACCCACATACCCCACCCAGCATCACACTGTCCTCATGCCTCTTCTATCTACTGCCCCACACATACCCACATACCCCACCCAGCATCACACTGTCCAGGCATCTTCTTCTATACTGCCCCCAAACATACCTACATACCCCACCCAGCATCACACTGTCCAGACATCCTCTTCTATACTGCCCCACACACATACCCACATACCCCACCCAGCATCACACTGTCCTGACATCCCCTCTTCTATACTGTCCCACACATACCCACATACCCCACCCAGCATCACACTGTCCTGACACCCTCTCTCTATACTGCCCCACACATACCCACATACCCCACCTAGCATCACACTGTCCTGACACTCTCTTCTATACTGCCCCACACATACCCACATACCCCACGCAGCATCACATTGTCCTGAGACCATCTTCTAGACTGCCCCACACATACCCACATACCCCACCTAGCATCACACTGTCCTGAGACCATCTTCTATACTGCCCCACACATACCCACATACTCCCACCCAGCATCACACCACTGTCCTGAGACCCTCTCTTCTATACTGCCCCCACACACATACCCACATACCCTACCTAGCATCACACTGTCCTGAGACCATCTTCTATACACCCCCGACACATACCCACATACCCCACCTAGCATCACACTGTCCTGAGACCCTCTTCTAGACTGCCCCCACACATACCCCACCCAGCATCACACTGTCCTGACACCCTCTTCTAGACTGTGCCACCCATACCCACATACCCCACTCAAGCATCACACTGTCCAGGAATCCTCTTCTATACTGCCCCACACATACCCACATACCCCTGTACCCAGCATCACACTATCCTGACACCATCTTCTAGGACTGCCCCACATATACCTACATACTCCCACCCAGCATCACACTGTCCAGACATCCCTCTCTATACTGCCCCACACATACCTACATACCCCACCCAGCATCACACTGTCCTGACATCCTCTTTCTATACTGTCCCACACATACCCACATACCCTCCCCACTCCAGCATCACACTGTCCTGACACCCCTCTCTATACTGCCCCACACATACCCACACATACTCCCACCTTTAGCATCACACTGTCCTGACACCCTCTTCTATACTGCCCCACACATACCCACATACCCTACTTAGCATCATCACACTGTCCTGAGACCATCTTCTAGGACTGCCCCACACATACCCACATACCCCACCTAGCATCACACTGTCCTGAGACCATCTTCTATACTGCCTCCCCACACATACCTACATACCCCTACCCAGCATCACACTGTCCTGAGACCTCTTCTATACTGCCCCACACATACCCACATACCCCACCTAGCATCACACTGTCCTGAGACCATCTTCTATACACCCCCCACACATACCCACATACCCCCACCCAGCACCACACTGTCCAGACATCCTCTCTTCTATACTGCCCCCACACATACCCACACATACCCCACCCAGCATCACACTGTCCTGAGACTATCTTCTAGACTGTGCCACACATACCCACAAATCCCACCTAGCATCACACTGTCCTAACACCTCTCTACTATACTGCCCCCACACATACCCACATACCCCCCACCCAGCATCACACACTGTCCTGAGACCATTTTCTATACTGCCCCACACATACCCTTCACCCAGCATCACACTGTCCTGAGACCATCTTCTATACTGCCCCACACATACCCACATACCCCACGCAGCATCACACTGTCCTGAGGACCATCTTCTATACTGCCCCACACATACCCACATACCCCTACGCAGCATCACACTGTCCTGGCGCCCTCTTCTATACTGCCCCACACATACCCCACCCAGCATCACACTGTCCAGGCATCCTCTTCTATACTGCCCCACACATACCCACATACCCCACCCAGCATCACACTGTCCTGACACCCCTCTCTATACTGCCCCCACACATACCCACATACCCCACCCAGCATCACACTGTCCTGGACACCCTCCTCTAGAGGGATGGGGTCATGCCACAAACATCAAGTTATCTTGTCAGTTGGCTGTTGGGGTTAACCTTTTAGTCATGCACAATTGCCACCTGACTTCAGGTCGTTGGTTTGAATCCCATCACAGAACTCATACATTTCATAGCCACTACATTTCAATGCTAACAAATTAGATTTTACTTGCTCAGGTTCAATTAAAAAAACACTGATGCAAAAAGGTGCTACCTTTTATTCATCAAAGTGTTTCATAATCAGGTAGCTGTGTCCAGCTAATCAAGCACAGCAACTTGCCAGGTGTGGCCACTCTCACCTGCCACACAGGTAATACCTGGTAAAGTCGCGAGACTGTGTATACAGCTCATCAGTCATATCGACTGCTGGCTCCCTACCATATATGGCTTTGAGAGTTTTTAGTGCATGTAAGAAACTGTCAGGTGACTTTATATACTGATTGGTATATGTGAACATGTTGTGGTTAGAGCTCATCAATAGACAGCAAACATCCTACCCTTACGCCGGAAGAGCCAGAGAGTGTCGGTTCCTATACCAGCCACCTGTGACAGTCACTAGGGATGAGCACTGAGAGTTAACAAGCTGAGGCTTGATGGCACTGGGTTGTGAAACTCCTCTATAATGATGGTATTTCACATGTGTTCAGCTGTTGAATGTACAGCATGCATGCATGCATACATGCAACAGACGTTGCAGGGATTGTGATGGGTCTACAAGGAATTGATGGCAATGCAGTTAGGATCTGCATGGTTGTAGAAGAACATTCACCTGGAGACAGTCAGGGGAGTGACAGTGAAGAGGATACTCTGACTTAAAGATCACATATACTCTAGGAGGGTACAAATACATAAATCACTAATTGGCATCATTATAAATGAAACCCGCCATTAAAACTACTCATTTCCATTTTTAATTAACTTCAATCGACCTTTTGACAACAGTGCACTATTCTCACCCATGAACAACATTTCAACCAATCAGAGCAGCTTCGCCTCTGTGACGTCATATGAAGAATAGATATGAGGGCTGATGCAGAATTCAAGTTCATTTCAGGGGGTAAATTATCTGGTTTACAGGTTTGTATAAACCTGAAATCGTGACAAATGTTGTGAAAATGAAAGCTATATATTCTCACAATCTACTGTCATTTCATTTTGTCTCCTGCTTTGCCTAGTTTCTGACTTACAACTTGTTTTCATAGACGATTCTGTCAAAATCGCTTGGTGTCGCTAGGCCTTATTTGTTCTGGCCAGACGCTAGTGATAGCGAAAACAATGATAAGCCTCGCCATCACGGGTTCACGGTTAATTTCTTCAACCCAAACAGTGCGACATTAAGGAGGGTGGATGCCCATCAGATGCAGTTATTTGAAAATATCCCTGGTAGTTCTTGTCTGATTGTAATAAAGTATCAAAGCAGTATGGGCTTTTTCAGGTTTTCTAATGCCTGGATGATATAATGACTGATCCAATTGATCCCATTTCTGTGGTTTTGTCCTCGACATTTAATCATGTAATGTAAAAATATGACGCCTATTACGTTATGATATTAAAAATTGACATTTGATTTATTTGAACTGTAGTAAACTAAACAAACCTACTTTGCCATTGCTAGAAGAATCCTCAGAATTTACTTAGGTAAATAGGTACATACAGTTTTAGCAACAGAAAATGCCTATATGTATTTCTTATGCAACAATACAGTTCTGTTTGTATTCTCAAAACAATGTCGGCTCCATAAGTTTTCATGATGCAATTAAAATTGCATGCAATACAGCAATTAATACTCCCTTGTTGTAACCTGTGTTAGGTGGTATAAACCTACACGTTATTTGTCATCATTCACTTGATGGTCAGTTAATGAAATTATAACAGGAATAATTAGTGGTAACACCACTTAGATTAGCCGACAAAGGTTCCCATTTGGCATTTCTTGTGTCTGGAGTAAATGCCCAACATTATAAACATCGATCAAAAAGATTAACCGATAACACGCTGATTGATTAATTACTTTTATCTTACTGCCGGATTGGTCAATAGGTAGTATTTATGTATGTAGATTTACTGATCTATACTGAATACACTCTGTCGTGTCTGTCTGCGAAAAAACGTCCTTCTTTCAAGAGATTAACCGCCAATACATTGATTGATTGCTCATTATTGGCTTACTAAATTACTTTTTTTTAAAAGAAAGGCGGACACTATGCAATTAGTTGCCAGGAGAAAATTCATCAAGCAAGATTTACATCCAGACTATGCATCAATTATGTCCTACGCATTACCTATTAATTCCAAACTCTTTGGAGGGATGTGCCAAAGGTGTTAGAAGACATAGATAAATCAAACACACTAACCAACAAGATGGTGATTCCAAGACCACACTGGGGTGCAAGCAGAGGCCGGCGCCCATATCGTGGGAATCACCTTACCTGGAGAGTCACGGAACTTCTATAGAGGCGGCCCTAATCATGCTTATGGGTACCATGGTTTACAAGAAGTGTTTTTGGTGCAGTCGTCAGGGCCCTCCAAGAAACAAAAGGGGAAAAGTCAAAGCCTGAACCACCTGAACCAACTTCCCACACTGATGAACAGGTCTGTGATAGTGTACCTCTTGTGAATGTCAGCAGGTTTACAGCAGGTAGACTGAAACAGTTTGATGAAAACTGGAAAGAAATCACATTAGATCAAGTAGTTTTAAATATGATTCAAGGTTGTGAAATTGAACTTGAGGAGGTTCCAGGGCAGAACTTTACTCCAAACAAATCATATTTGATTCAAGGGAAACAGAAATCATTGATTCGGAAATAGAGAAATTTCTAAAAAGGGAGTTGTTGAAGAGACAGAACCAAATGAGGGTCAGTTTGTATCAAATATTTTCATAAAACCCAAAAAAGATGGTTCATACAGACTGATACTGAATCTGAAACACTTTAATAAGTCAGTAACCTATCAACATTTCAAAATGGAAAGTTTAGACTCTGCAATTAAGTTGATGAAGCAAGGTTGTTACATGGCATCAGTAGATTTAAAGGATGCTTACTATTCTGTACCAGTTAAAGCAGAACATAGAAAGTATTTAAGGTTTATTTGGAGAAGCAAACTGTTTCAGTATACATGTCTGCCAAATGATTTAGCATGCTGCCCCAGACAATTTACCAAGTTGATGAAACCGGTTTTTGCCTCATTAAGAGAGAAAGGCCATGAGAGTGTACCCTACATTGATGATTCTTATCTGCAAGGAGATTCATTTGATGATCGAGTGTCGTGCTAATGTTCGAGACACATTTCACTTAGTTCAAAAGTTAGGGTTCATTCTCCATCCTACAAAGTCTGTATTAGTGCCATCACAATCTGTAGTGTTCTTAGGTTTTGTTTTAAATTCTGAAAACATGACTGTCAAGTTAACAGATGAGAAAGTCTATACAATTAAAAAGGATTGTTACATGCTTACAAGAAAGAAATTCGTGAAAATTAGGACTGTGGCTGAAATTATAGGGAGACTAGTGGCTAGTTTTCCAGGAGTAGAGTATGGCCCGCTTCATTATAGGAAGTTGGAAAGGGCAAATGCCAAAGCATTAAAGGAAAACAATGGAAATTATGAGACTACTAGAAATATCAGCTTGCATGATGAAAGATCTGACATGGTGGCATTCAAACATTGCTAGGTCCCAAAGAGTTATCTCCCATGGCACACCTGAAGTAATTATTAAATCTGATGCCTCATCCATGGGATGGGGAGCACATTGTGGGATATAAAAACAGGAGGCAGATGGACAGCTTTAGAAGCAGAAAAACATATCAATGAGTTGGAATTGTTAGCAGCTTTATATGCAATCCAATCTTTGGCAAAAGAGTATAGAAAGGTGCATATTCAAATTCAGATGGACAACACAACAGCTGTGTGTTATGTAAAAGCCATGGGGAGCAAATCAGTAGCTTGTGACATCATAGCTAGGGACATATGGTAATGGTGCATAGAAAGAGATATCTGGCTGAGTGCCACACATATACCTGGCAAACTGAATGTGGTTGCAGGTAGGGAATCAAGAGTATTTGATGACCAAACAGAATGGAAACTAGATGCAGAAGTGTTTGGAAGAATTTGTGAATTATGGGGTACCCTAGATATGGATTTATTTGCATCACGGTTAAATAAACAACTTGAGACTTATGTTTCTTGGAAATGTGATCCACAAGCCTACCATATTGATGCATTTACACTAAGTTGGTGTGGTTTTAAATTCTATGCTTTTCCTCCATTCAGTACAATTGGGAAATGCCTGCAGAAGGTCACAGAGGAAAAGTCGGAGGGGGTGATGGTGGTTCCCTTTATGGAGCACCCAGGCCTGGTACCTGAGACTGATGAATATGCTGGTGGATGTACCCAGAGTGCTACCCAGGAAACAGAGACTGCTAACGCTACCATGGTCAGAGAAGCTGCATCCACTGAGGAACAAACTCCACCTGATGGCCTGTCGCTTGTCAGGAGAAGTCTCAAAGCAAGAGGAGTTTCGGAGGAAGCTCAGACTGTCATGCTGGAATCATGGAGGAGGGCAACTCAGAGACAATATAAAGTCTACCTGCAGAAGTGGGCACCGTTCTGTAGGGAAAAAGACATTAATCCAATTCATGGAACTGTGAATAATGTGTTAGATTTTTCTGACTGTGTTATATAAAAATGGAAAAGGATACAGTGCTCTGAACACTGCCAGATGTGCTCTGTCGGCATGTGTAATATTGGATGACTGTAAAGACACAGTGGGATCACACCCACTAATAACAAGGTTTCTTAAAGGGCATTTAATGTAAGACCTACAAGGTCTAGGTATTCAGCAGTGTGGGATGTTGAATGTTTACTGGCTTGGTTAAGAACACTGGTTCCAAATGCAAAGTTAGATTTGAAGTTTTTAACATTCAAAGTTATGCTGTTTGTTAGCTTTAGTTACTGCACAGAGAGTGCAATCTTTACATTGTTTAAAGTTAAGCAATCTCACAGAATATAATGATAAAGTTGTTTTCAATTTGAAGTTGCTTAAACAAAGCAGACCTGGTATGAAGTCAAGATTTGTGGAGTTATCTCCCTTTGGCCAAGACCCAGCCTTGCGTGTTGTGAGTGTACTTGATACTTACTTGGCCAAAACTACAGATGTGAGGGACAGTGAAAATCAGTTATTGATCAGCTTTATTAAGCCTCACAAAGCTGTTAGTTGTCAGACAATAAGCAGGTGGATTAGATGTTGTATGCAGATAGCTGGTATTGATGTTACACAGTTTAAGGCTCATAGCACAAGAGTTGCTTCAGTGTCAGCTGCTAGGGCAGCTTTCGTGCCAGTAAGTGATATCATTAAAACAGCCGGGTGGTCATCTGATCATTGTTTTGTGAAACATTATTCGGTCTATGTGGAACCCAGTTCTCAGCAGAGATTTGCTCATGCCATACTAGGTAGAAACTGAAATCCTACCTGAGGCAAAGTGCAGAAGTGTATGCAATTGTATACTAGTAATTAGTTACCAGGGAATTGTTCCAGAGAACTTGTGAAATGTATAATAGATTCATTAAAAAGATGAATTTGAACATGTTTGTTTTTAGTTTGGAATGGAAACGTGGTAATTAAGTTTAACCAAGAGATGGAACTTAATGACATAAAGCTGGTATATATAAAATCCATGGATATTGGGAACTTAAGGAAGGTCTGTGAACTAGTCAAGTGTGTCAGTTGCCAACTAGGCTTTAAAATCTCACGGAGCACTCTGTGACTGGAGCATTCGGAAATTAAACAGAGACTAACCTGTAAGTTGAAGTTTGATTGGAGTTCTGCCCCAGCCATCACAGCACTGAGTGATTCGTGGCCACCCTAGCCCACCCTTGGTCTGTTGGCACCTGACTGACTTGTACTTTAAAGACTGAAGTGACTCTCACTCCGCACATGCGTAATGCTATCTCACGAATCACTCATTGCTGTGATGACTGGGCAGAACTCCAATCAAACTTCAACTTACAGGTAAGTCTCGTTTAATTTCCGAATTACAGTTAGTTGTGAGAAAACATCTATTTATACTTCCAGGATTCACTTCCGCCGCATTATATAAAAACGTGATCGGCGGCAGTGAACGGGCTGGACACATCGGTGAATAGCTAATTAAGTATCATAATTAATTCTGTTTCATTAATTTAACGAACGGCAGAGTAATTTTGTAAGTACCGCTAAATTATGGCGATAACTGTTTGCTAGCCAGTAGCATTATGTGAAGTTGGATCACAATGGAGAAACGATCGGATGCCTGATACACAGGATAAGGATTGGTAACCCAGAATCCCTATGACACAAATAATCAACTTTTAGAACTGACAGGGAAATGACAGATCAGTGACGATGAGCCAGGGCTCCGACTGGCAGCCTTTCCGCCCGTGTATTGCTGAAACACGAGAGCGATATACACTGTCAGGGTGGTAAGTATACATAAACAAAAATCAACAAGATCGTGGTACAGTGATACACAACCAGCCGGTCACACACGTGACACACCAACAGCCTATTGACAAGAGTGGCCAAAGGTATGTAAAGTATGCGCTGTCATAATCAATGGTTAAAAACGGGATTTTCTCGGATGACCACAGCCCTGACAAAGACAACAGTGCCAAATCAGCTGACTGTTGCAACTCTTAAAAACCACTTGATAAACATTATTTGAATTTAAAATCGTTAGAAGACGGTGGTTTATTACCTTATGCACACAATGCATCGATTATTCTTCTTATTTTTTGTGTTCTAGAATCGGCTGATCATCATTCTTCAAATTCATTCAAAGACAGCTACGTGCGGCCATTTTAGAGATGAAAGTTCAAGGTCATGACAAACGACAGATTCGCAGAAATCTGCACCACATTTCTGAAGATTTTGCAAAATCTTGTCCCTCTATTAGAAATGCAATTATTTACCTCATAGCATGTGTCCAAAGTCCAGAGAGATTTTTTCTGGTTGAAAATGTGAATTTACATGGACATGTACGGGATGAATGCTGGCTGAAACGGCACCTGTTTCATTTGGCGAAAACGGCTACGGAAGTTCACACCTAGGCTAACATCTAGTCTTTGAACTAAATGTACACAAAACTACAAAGACATTTACCGTGTCTCTCCCGCACTGGAAGAACATACATGTATATGGGATTCAAGTATGGATTCTGGTGTCCCCGCAGTGATATTGCTGGAATATTGCTAAAGGCGTAAAACCAAACTCCCTCACTCACTCACTCACTCACAGAGTGGAGTCTCCCGACTGCTCTATTGGTTCACGCAAACCTGGCCATGGCACTTGTAATGTTAATCCTGGCATTTTGTAATTAACCTAACTGTATATGCAGGAAGCACATACCTTTGTACATACATTCAATCTCGTTCTATCCACACAATTTATATTAACCTTCTTATTGTTGTACATGCATTTATTTTTTGAAACTGTAGAATATTATAAGTTTGGATACCGTCTTAACCTAGACTGGAAACAGTCCCTGAAGGCAAAATGCACTAAGTGAGTGAGTGAATATGGTTTGAACGCTGCTTTTAGCAATATTTCATCAATATCACGCGGGGACACCAGAAATGAGGTCCACATTGTACCATATGGGGAATCGAACCCGGGTCTTCAGCGTGACGGTTTTCGGCGACGAGTGAACTCTTAACGCTATATAGTGAGTGAGTGAGTGAGTGAGTTTAGTTTTACGTTTCACTCAGCAATATTCCAGCTATATGGCGGCGGTATGTAAATAATCGAGTGTCGACCAGACAATCCAGTGATCAACAGCATGAGCATCGATCTGCGCAATTGGGAACCGATGACATGTGTCAACCAAGTCAGCGAGCCTGAAACCCGATCCCGTTAGTCGCCTCTTACAACAAGCATAGTCGCCTTTTGTGGCAAGCATGGGTTGCTGAAGACTTATTCTACCCCGGATCTTCACGGGTCCTTAACGCTATATAAAATATATGAGGTATATTTTATCCTGGTCACTTGTGCGTTTCGATCGCTTCGTTGCAAGATGCTAGACATTGTTTGTACTTATCATAATCAAATGGAGACTGTTCCACTACACGCAGACTGTATCCAAGCGTCCCTCCTTCCAATATTTAGTTAGTTGACAGTGCTGGCAGTTCCATGGACGTGATCTTTCATTTATGCAATTTTAATATTAAGAACAATATTGTTTTGTGTGTTTTCAAATCGAAACGCCCACTGTGGAAACCACGTGTGATGGCGGCAAGATGTAAGTGTAGTCAGTAGGCCACTACGCCAGGACACTATTAGGTTGATATTGGGATTTGACTAAACAGGGGGTGTACGTCCATGAATTCATATAAAATAAGTCTTCTAGCACGTGTTTAAAGTCACCGCTATGCCACATGACTGAACCACTACGCCCCATGACAAAACCACTACACCCAATCATTGAACCACTACGACCGAACCCTAAACGCCCCGTGACTGTAGTGGGTACAGCTTGGGGTACTGTGGTGGGTACAGTATGGAGTACTGTGGTGGGTACAGCATGGAGGACTGTGGTGGGTACAGCATGGGGGACTGTGGTGGGTACAGCATGGGGGACTGTGGTGGGTACAGCATGGGGACTGTGGTGGGTACAGCATGGGGACTGTGGTGGGTACAGCATGGGGGACTGTGGTGGTGGGTACAGCATGGGGGACTGTGGTGGTGGGTACAGCATGGGGGACTGTGGTGGTGGGTACAGCATGGGGGACTGTGGTGGGTACAGTATGGGGGACTGTGGTGGTGGGTACAGCATGGGGGACTGTGGTGGGTACAGCATGGGGGACTGTGGTGGGTACAGCATGGGGACTGTGGTGGGTACAGCATGGGGGACCGTGGTGGAGTACAGTATGGGGACTGTGGTGGGTACAGTATGGGGGGCTGGTGGGTACAGCATGGGGGACTGTGGTAGGGGTACAGCATGGGGACTGTGGTGGGTACAGCATGGGGGACTGTGGTGGGTACAGCATGGGGGACTGGTGGTGGGTACAGCATGGGGGACTGTGGTGGGTACAGCATGGGGGACTGTGGTGGGTACAGCATGGGGGACTGTGGTGGGTACAGCATGGGGGACTGTGGTGGGTACAGCATGGGGGACTGTGGTGGGTACAGCATGGGGGACTGTGGTGGGTACAGTATGGGGGACTGTGGTGGGTACAGCATGGGGGACTGTGGTGGGTACAGCATGGGGACTGTGGTGGGTACAGTATGGGGACTGTGGTGGGTACAGCATGGGGACTGTGGTGGGTACAGCATGGGGACTGTGGGGGTACCATGGTGGTGGGTACAGCATGGGGGACTGTGGTGGGTACAGCATGGGGACTGTGGTGGGTACAGTATGGGGGACTGTGGTGGGGGGACAGCATGGGGGACTGTGGTGGGTACAGCATGGGGGACTGTGGTGGGTACAGTATGGGGGACTGTGGTGGGTACAGCATGGGGGACTGTGGTGGGTACAGCATGGGGGTACTGTGGTGGGTGCAGCATGGGGGACTGGGGGGTTACACTGTGGTGGGTACAGCATGGGGGACTGTGGTAAGGGTACAGCATGGGGGACTGTGGTGGGTACAGCATGGGGGACTGTGGTGGGTGGTGGAGTACAGCATGGGGGACTGTGGTGGGTACAGTATGGGGACTGTGGTGGGTACAACATGTGGTGGGTACAGCATGGGGGACTGTGGTGGGTGCAGTATGGGGGACTGTGGTGGGTACAGCATGGGGGACTGTGGTGGGTACAGTATGGGGACTGTGGTGGAGTACAGCATGGGGGACTGTGGTGGTACAGCATAGGGGGACTGTGGTAGGTACAGCATGGGGGACTGTGGTGGAGTACAACATGGGGACTGTGGTGGGTACAACATGGGGGACTGTGGTGGGGTACAGTATGGGGGACTGTGGTAGGTACAGCATGGGGGACTGTGGTGTGGTGGGTACAGCATGGGGACTGTGGTGGGTACAGCATGGGGGACTGTTGTGGGTACAGTATGGGGGACTGTTGTGGGTACAGCATAGGGGACTGTGGTGGGTACAACATGGGGGACTGTGGTGGGTACAATAGGGGGGGCACATTGTCTAACAGTTATTCTGTTTCTGAAGACAACAATCAACAGAAGCTACAACCGGTCCAGTCAGTATGACTGGCTTCTGAGGAAAGACACACTGATTCGGGTTTGCAACGTTTGGAACATAAAGGACTTTTCGTTTCATGAATAGGACGAGGATAGGACACAGAAATGACACATGGAAAGATGAGAGACGTAACAATCACAATTATTGAGAAGGAGGAGTTGCGTTTTCCAATGAAACCATGGCACAGGCCAGTTTTACATGGTTTATTTTTTTATAACTTATAATCTTACATATACCTGTAATTTTGCCTAAGTTTTTCTCTTACACAGTGTCATTGACATGACAACATGACAACATATCAAAACAGCCATTTTGCCAGGTAAAACACACGTCATAACTAGTACTTAAGCGTTGGTAAATACTATGAGTTTAACACATGGAGCAGGTTCAATCTGAAGTCATACACAACAACAAATTAACGTGCGTGTACTCAAGTGGGAACCACCCCACCTACCACAAACAGCGATGCCCACGTTCACTCTTGAAGCCAAATTGTTGATTTCCCGTCACACCATCCACCCGCATTGGCCATTAGCTCATAAGGGCAGTTATATGGTTTTATTTTCACGGTCACTGATTCATACTAGTGTTGGGAATTGGTTAAAATCTCATAATTGATGATTGGTTCATTACAACCGATCAATCATCGAAAATAATTGGTAAGAGTCATTTATGAAATTTGTTAATGCACATGAAAATAAGGAAAAAACCCATGTAGTTCTTTGGGGCTTTTTGGCAAAATTTCACATCTTTAAAGGATGACTAGTATGTTAGGAACATAAATTTCTTGGAATCTTTAAGATAAATTCAATCATGACTTGAAACGAGCTTGTAGTGCTTACAAAATGTAACAGACAAAACCAACCATGTGAAAAATATTGTAATGAAAACAAATGTTCCAAACTTGGTTGTGTTCGATTATGAGAAATTATGATCGATTGCTTGGTCGTTTAGTCACTACGACCAATCTTCGATTATTTTAATTAATCGGACCACCACTAATTCATACAGGCTATAAATGTGGAGGAGCTGTAAACAATCAATGGACATTGTGTCTGACTGTTAACACCACGCTCAGCAATACGATGGGCGAAATATGGAAAACGCATCTGGGGAATCGAACCTGAGTCTTCGACGTGACGAGCGAACGCTTTAACCACTAAGCTACCCCACCGCCCTGTCACTGGAAAAGCTACCTATGTTCCGTATTATTTATTACATCTATTTACATATGTGTTACATATTACATATTTGTTCTAAATATTAGAACTATGTTTTAATTTGTCGTCCAGTCTCTTATGGTATGAGCAATTGTTACAGTACTATGCTTATGATCTTCATCACTGGATTGTCTGGTCCAGACTCGATATTTTACAGACCGCCGCCGGATAGCGGTAATATTGCTGAGTGCGGCGTAAAACAACAAACCAACCAACCATATTTTGCCGTCTGCCAAACTGCTTCTATTTATAGACTGGCTGGCTGAACCTCGCATACAGCTTCACCTCACAGCTGGCTGGTAGTCGCAAGACGTCAAATACGCACGTGCAAATCGTGCTTGTCTATTCCAGACACATCAATTGTCACAAACACCAGCGATCAGGTGCAGTCGGACCAAGTCGTTGTTATTGTGTGTACACAGGACCTGGCGGGCGAGATGCTGAACACATTCTATACAAAAATCTGTATATTAATAATACCAAATAAGCAGAAAATACTGTAAATTATGTTATACCCACCATCTTTATCTATATACTTTTATCGGAGCCTGTGATTTTTGCCGTGATGTATGACGTCCTTCCCAGACGCTTTATGGCCTTTCTATAGCTCACTAACCTATGGGGGCTGTAGC